CCTCAAATTCGATTTTGGGTTTTTTGTCATGCACAATTTTCGTTTAATTGCTTTTTGTTGAACAACAGTGTCGAAGCTTCTTAACACTTACGAATTACGATACGTTTGCAAATTTAAGGCTTGCGTTTAGTTTGTTGTACGTTTTTTTATAGGGTAATGAATTGAGATCAAGGTATTCGTCTGCATACTTCAAAGATGTCATGAAAAAGATCAATATTGTATTTTCAGACACACATGGGCAATATTTAGAAAAGAGTCCGTTTTAGTTTTCTTTGAATTTGTCTTACTTACCGATAACTGTTTGTCCCATTTTTGTTGCATTTTTTTCGTGTTTATTTTATCTTTTTTTTTTCCCCTTATTAGGTCGTTTCATTAGTTTTTGGTCCGTTTTGTGTTTTATTATATGTTTTCCTTCATTTTGAGTCCTTAGGTATTTTTCGTCTGTTTTTCCGGTTTTCTTCGTGTTTTGTCGTTTTTGGTGTGTAGGTCTGGAGCTTCGGGTGAACTTTATCTTCAACAAAAGTTTGTTTCAAGCGCATAGATTAATAGAGGGGTTCGTTAGCGACGCATAGGAAAAACGGAACGCAATTCTGAGTTCGGACGAGCCCAAATGAGCCCGAAACGCGTAGATGAACCAGGAACCCTGTGCGAAACAGCCCCACGCCGCGCCACACACTTCCTCCACGCCGCGGTGCACGTCAAGGACAAGCAGAGACTTCCACCTTCCCCAGCACCATGCCACGATGGTCCTTTCACGCCGTGACAGATGTGCGCCTTGCGCCGTGGCACTATCTCACGCCCGTGACACCCCGTTGCTTATAAATATCAGATCGAGACTTCAACACAGAGATTCTCTTCCCTTCGGGAGATGAACCCTACCCCGAAAAATACACGAAACTCCTTTTCTCTTCCTCTCTTCTTCTTCTTCATTTTTCTTCTTCTCTTTACCTTTATTTTCCATTTTTTTTTCTTCTTCTTCTTAGTATTATAGGATTAAGCCTGTAATTCGGATTCAACACTCGAATTTGGGATTAATTGTAAGAATTTCTTTCTCTTATTTAATTCATGAATAATGGTTGATTTGAGATTAATGATTATGTGTGTTGAATTTGATTTACGTAGCTAATTCCTTCTGCTAGGGATAGGAGATGATTATTCTTGTTTGATTCGTATTTGGCGGGCTTGATTTGTTCATGCTTATGTGAGTTGATATAATTCAAAATCGATGAATTTGTGCTTGATTGATTGATATAATCGAAGAGTGACGCTTTGATCTTGCGATTGAAAACGATTGAATGTTAATTTGTCGAGTTAGGGTTTGTCAATTCTGTATGATTAGTTGATTAATCACCTTCTAGTTAATTAGTGACTTTTAGAACCGAAAGGGGAGAAGTCATAAACCTAGGCTCGCATGAGGTAGATGATTTCGTAATTGAATAGCCTATAGGTTTTGGATTGAAATACGTGCTTGTCGATGACCCGTCCTTTGTTACGAAAAGTTATTGGGATTGGGATAATTGGCATGTGTTGTATGCTCGAGTTTGTTCGTCTATGTTCAATTCCTTGTTACGAAGAGTTATTGGGAGCGAACCGCTAGATGTCTAAGCGAGAGTGTCAATCTAGAACCAAGCGATTAATTGCCCGGCTTTGATAGAACTTGAATTAATTATCCCTGATTCCCTAACTTCTCCATCTTTGTTCTGTTTCACATTTTTAGGTAGATTACTGCTTATTATTATTTCTTAGTTAGTAATTATTCAATCCCTTTATCTGATTAGAGTGTGTAGGATTTATTTTCTTTTTATGTGTGATCGATACAAAAGCTGAATCCCGAACCGCCTTCCTCGAGATATCGACCCAGGAAACGAATCCTTAATTCGATACTCAGTAAAATATAACAATTTGTACACAAAATAACTCATAAAATAGTAAAAACCTTAATTTAGAAATTCTATGGTGCCCATATGGGCACCATATTGTGCCATAATTTCACGATCCAACGCCTAATATCCATTGTGGTATTGATAGAATGGATATTAGGCGTTGGATCGTGAGATTTATGGCACCATATGGTGCCCATATGGGCACCATAGAATTTCTGTAATTAATACATATAAGACATATAAGAATGCATTTGTAGTAGGAGATTGTTTGTTGCATTACTTTGATGCTTCTAAATTTTGTATGACAATTAATTAGATTGAAACAAAACGAGCTAGCGATAGACTTAGATATTAGACTGGAGTCCAAATTTTTATTAGAAGGCTAGTATCATAATGTATGAGTTTGAAAGGAAAGACAGTTGTAGACCAAATAAGT